AAGAAAATATATAAGTAAAAAGCGGGCTAAGTAAGGGTATAGTGGAACCGTTTACTTAATAGCAACTTTAGCAATACTAGAATATATATAAACAGACCCGCCTTAATATATTTTAAAATATCTATATACGCTTTTATTACCTCCACATATATAAATACGGGATTTACTCTTAGAATGGCCTATATCTTTAATAGCTACTCCTCTCTAATTATATTTAGAGGTAATATAATAATAGTAATAGAAGCTTAAACTAGTAATAAAATCGCCTATATTATTATACTCTTACCCTATAATATCTTTACCGCTAAAAATAAGTCCCTCTGCCTATATATTACCCGTCTTAATACCTTAATTTAACTAGGTTATCCGCTATACGGATATAGAAGCTTAATAGCTCTATCTATTGCGCTTAACTATTTATTCTTACTTACCTCCTATAAGGCCAGAAGCTTATCTTATATATCCTATAACTGCCTCTCTACTAGGGATATAAAATCCTCCTATATATAATTATCTAGCTCCTATAAGCTCCGTAAGACCTACTAGCGTTCTTATTTAATTATAGTCTTCTAACCCTAATAACTAGTATTTTTTTCTAAGCTATAGTAGTTTTCTATACGGATATAGCGTCTAATAGTAATAGAGGCACTTTAGGCCAAGGGAGAATATTTTTAAGAAAGAACCTAACTATAGCACCTACTAGGTGTTATAATAGCTTTAAGTAATAAATATCTATATATCTGTATAGTTTTATCTATATTAGTAAACTATTTAATAAGATATAATATATACTTAGGCTTTTAATAACGTGTTTTTTAACTTTAATAAAATTAATATTAAGACTAAGTAGTAGCCGTATAATAAAATTTATACTATTTAAAAGCCCTAAGTTTTTAAAAAAAAAGTAACTATAGGGTTTAATAATAACGCGTTATATAAATAAATAAATTAGATATCCGTAATCTCCGTTTTATGGATTTTACTTAGAATTTTAACAAATCTCGCCAAACCCTCTTAGACGTGATTTTGCAATTCGGAAGACGGCGTAGGTTATTCCGATGCTAGCTAAAAAATCGCGTCTGAGCTCGCTGAGGTAATAATACGCCGTCAAAATATCATGCTTAGTTATCAAGATCTAGTCAAAAGCAGCTAAAAGCAGCTGTCAAACTCTATATCTCTTCGTGCGGCAGAAGTCACTTTTCGTATTGGGCGCTTTTGGCGTTTTTGCTTAGGTTAACATGCTGCGGTTTTATTAGCAAGCCCCACCAAAACACGTCGACCAACAAAATGTTGCACAAGGCCACCACTAAAAACACCAATATATATATTTTTTTTTGAGAAAGTTGAGCAAAAAGTCGTAATATATGATGCCATGTCCGTAGGTTTCTACCCTTCCTCCTGCTGATTATATAGGAAAATCCTCCATCAAAGTCCGCCGAATTACTGCCACCTGTACGCTTTATACACATTCTTGACGTCGATGAGGATAAGGCGGTGAAGGACCAGGTTAAGGTTATAAGGAGAAGTGCTGTATACGTCAAATGAGATGTATGTCAATGAGGCGCCAGCACCCCTGCCGCCGAGTAACTGCGTTGACCAAGCTTCAACACCAAGCTATATACGGTATAGAGCCCCTAGATCCTTATAAGGCGTGCATATACGAAAAGTGCAAGAATTCGTTGCCACATAAAGGGATTGAATTCGTCAATACTGTGTCCTCAATTGGGCCTAGACTCTGGCTAACGTGGGTGATAGCCTTCTTGATGTAGATGGAACACCAAAATACTGCCAAATGCCTCAGAAGTAGCCGTTAGGCGTGCACGACCCAACGGCTACTTCTGAGGCATTTGGCAGTATTTCGGTGTTCCATCTACACCAAGAAGGCGGTAGATCCACCGCCACAACCCTGTCGCCTTCATAACCCCATCACCTACGTTATGCGCGCCAAAATAGCGCAATATTGAGTTATATTTTCGTGCGAAAGGTCCCTACTATTTCCGTATGGCCGCGCCGTTAGTTAGTCCTACAATCTAGTCATGACATTCTCCCCTACCGGGGCTACCGGCTATAGAAGTGGCCTGGTCTTCCTTTCTCAAACCTGGTGAAGCGTTAATTGCCTTTCTAGTCTCCAAACTTCCTACAAACATCGGATTTTGCAGTGATCATGGCTCCAGTCGGTGGGACAGCCACAGAATTCGAAGCTGCGGCGCTGGCACGCCGTCAAGCTCTTTCGGGTGGTTCTGGTCCATTGGCCCTGCTCAGAAATTTACGCGTGTTTGGCATAGCCTGCTTTGCTTGTCTTGGAGGTTTGCTATATGGCTACAATCAGGGTGTTTTCAGCGGTGTCCTCACCATGACCGCTTTCAAGAAACGTTCGTCTTGATCCTTTTGATCACATATCACAACTAATTCATGCAGACATGGGCAGCTATATCGAGGATGAGGCAACTTTGACTTGGAATGATTCCAAGCAGGGATGGCTGGTATCCATCCTCGAATTGGGTGCGTGGTTTGGGACAATGTACTCCGGCTTTCTCGCTGAGATCCTGTCTCGAAAATACGCTATCTTGGTCAACGTCACTATCTTCGTCATTGGAGTCGTCGTTCAGACAACTGCAATCACCCCATCCGGCCACAGCTCTATCCTGGGGGGTAGATTTATTACTGGTACATCAAATTCGCATCTTCAACACCGGAATCTACAGGCTTACCATGACCATAGGTATGGGTGTTGGCTCTTTGTCCATGATTGTACCAATGTATAATGCCGAGATTGCACCACCTGAAGTCCGCGGTGCTCTGGTTGGGTTACAGCAAATGTCCATCACACTAGGAATTATGATCAGTTTCTGGATCGACTATGGCACAGTGAGTTCAATCCCCAAACTATTTCTAAGAAACGACGATGCTGATAAGAGTAGAATTTTATTGGAGGTACAGGCAAGGGACAGCACAATGGTGCATGGCTCCTACCTTTAAGCTTGCAGCTTGTACCTGCGGTTCTGCTTGGATTAGGAATGCTATTTATGCCCTTCTCTCCTCGTTGGCTTGTTCATCATGGACGAGAAGCCGAGGCGCGCGGCGTGCTTGCTAGGCTTAGAGACCTACCTCAAGATCACGAATTGATAGAGCTCGAATTTATGGAGATCAAGGCCCAGTCCCTGTTTGAGAAACGGTCACTCCAAGAAAACTTCCCGCATTTGCAGGAACAGACGGCTTGGAATATTCTCAAACTGTAAGTATCAAGATTTTCAGAAACTTCAGGTTTAACGTGTAGAACAAAACTAATGGATTTGTTTAGCCAATTCGTTGCCATCGGTTCTCTCTTCAAGTCCATGCCAATGTTCCGACGCGTGATCGTAGCCACAGTAATCATGTTCTTCCAGCAATGGACTGGCATCAACGCTATCCTTTATTATGCCCCGAAGATTTTTAATGGCTTGGGTCTTTCCTCCAATGCAGTTTCCCTCTTGGCTACTGGTGTGGTTGGAATTGCCATGTTCATTGTAAGGGCAGAACTCCAACCCCAGAAATGCTATGCTAATCTACGCCATAGGCTACGATACCGGCTATCATGTGGGTTGATAAATGGGGCCGTAAACCAGTCCTCATCTGGGGTGCTCTCGGCATGGCCACATGTCACATAATCATTGTACGAAGCTCTATTTCTCATATCATCCTTGATTAATTTCCGTGGTCTTTGCGCTCACTGACTGGCATTTTCAAGGCCGCCATCACCGCCAAGAACCAATATCAATGGCCTACGCACCAATCTGCAGGTTGGGCCGCCGTCGCCATGGTCTGGCTTTTCGTCATCCACTTCGGATATTCATGGGGACCTTGCGCTTGGATCGTCATCTCGGAAATCTGGCCCTTGTCAAATCGATCGTACGGCATCGCCCTTGGCGCATCGAGCAACTGGTACGTAGTAAACCTTCAAAATGAGCGCTCTTCTCAAAATTCTACAGTGCCGGACGAAGCTAATGTCTTACTTCCCCTCTTACTAGGATGAACAATTTCATCGTCGGCCAAGTGACTCCAGACATGCTCTCCGGAATGACGTATGGTACCTATATCTTCTTTGGCCTCCTTACCTTCGGCGGTGCACTATTCGTCTGGCTTTACGTCCCCGAAACTAAAGGGCTCTCGCTTGAGGAAATGGACGTCTTGTTCGGGAGCATTGGTATGGCGGAGAGGGAGCGTGAGAGATGGAGAGAGGTCAATCGGGAGGTGGGTTTGGAGCAGCTGGTTGACCTAGGAGGCATTGATGTTGGAAGTGAGAAAGGTATGAAGGAAGAGGTGAAAGAGATAGAGATCGGGAAGCCAGCGAGGACGAATGGCGAGACTCATTACGAGCCGGCGGCGGAGTAGAGCGAGTAAGTCGTGGCATAAGACTGAGAAAAAGCAGCAATGCAGGAGGGAGTTATGGAATTTGGGCGGATCTGTGTGGGGTGGGGATAAAAGTTCTGTGAAATTCTCTCAGACTAGACTGCATGTCACAATACCGAAGATTTGATCAGTCATTCTCTCAATCCAACATATTTCTGAATAGTAATTGATGCCCTACAACTTCAGTTGACCGTTTATGTCTTCAATACCCAGCCACTCAGTCATCCCGCTTGTTCTCTCATCCTAATATGCTTTAATGCTAATATTAGTACTAAGTCAACTACTTCTTCCTACTACACTCACAAAAAAATAAGCTGGCGAGGAGGGAACAACATGCAGAAACTATAGTAGATGTTTCCTCAAGCTGCAGCCAAAAAGAGTACATTGGCGTTCGAGTGTTGTTATAAATCACTAAATCGCACCGAGTTTCTAGTTGAGTTAACGTTAAGTTTAAGTAATTGATATATTGATGGCCATTTCATATAATTAAGAAGCAGTCTGAGCTTTCAACGCCTTTTACAATGGGACAAAGATCAAATGCAAAGCAATAAAAACCGGCGCAAGGGTGGTAGTTTCACACCTTCTGCTGACAATCTCAAAGAAATTGGGCTGCCCGATGGTAGGAATCACACCTACGTCTCGTGAACCAGCTGTCACGTATTATACCCACTAAACTACACCGAGGTTCAAGGAACTGGTATATTTAGAATCTTAATATACCTATGGCTTGCTTGAAATGTTGGAGCATGTCTGCCTAGTGGCTTGACTATCAAGACTAGATTTGAATTCTTCGTAGGCTTCAATCCTGTTGCCTACCTTGCTGCCTACCTACCCAGTGTATATATAGAGGCCCTAGAGCCACCTTTAATCGACCGACTTCTCATTCTTAATCTTCCGTTTGACAAAATGTTGGTGAGAACGTCAGATATCGATGAAGCTGTCATGAACGGGACCGATATACAAGGCGGCAGAGTCAGTAGGGGAGGGGATCACGTTGATAATGGTACAGAGCCCTATGATGAATGGAAATGTATACCTATCTGTCACCCTATCATTACCTGTTATTGAAGCCCATGAAAAACTCCCAATTGGCGCTCCTCAAAAGCCAAATCCGGATCTAGCTTGGACAGCTTTGTCAAGTGACAACAGCAACAATTTTGTGATGCATGGCGCACCTCCTCACCTCAAGCAAGTTCTTCATCAAACACCGCAGGCCTTCGGCACAAAGAGCGGGGCGACCACCACCGTCTGCCCTAACCCATTCCCGTCCTTCCCCAGCGCAACCGCATACCCCTGCCCCACGAACCGGTTGATCAAGAACAGTCTCAAACCCCTTCTTCACCACCGTGCCCAGCATGCTATCTACTGCAGCCGTAGCCTCACGCTTCTCATTATTGGCCACCGAATGGATCTCCCAACTCTCAACCTCCGTAGCGCCATTCCAACTGGTATAGAAAGCAGTCTTGCTAGCAACTTGGTCCCAATCCGTAAAGATAGCAGGACCATTATCAGGCACGCCAGTCCAGTTGCCGCGGTGGACTGAATAGGAGCAGGTAGTTGTGTGGGCATCGTCAGTCACGGCGCCGAACTGCGCGTGCAGAACGCAGGTCCTATTGGGCATGAACTCGGAGAAGGCGAGGTCGCCCTAGCTAATGAACTGGTCCCTGCTCGAGAGCGTCTGCACGTCGCCTTGCGAGGGCGAGAGTAAGCGTTCCGGGGAGATGTATTCCCTGAGGAGCGTGGCTGTCTTTGTGGGTCGATCGAGATGAATTCACCGGATAACAGGCGGACGCGTTAGTGCTAGGAAGACCACCGGAGGCATTGTCCATGATTGAGATTGTGAGATTGTTGGCCGTTCAGGTGTGTAGGATGAGGTCATGCTGGCAGCTAAATGTTAAGTTTTGCAAGTCGAACGTAGAGTTTTTGCCATTTAGGCGCCAGAGAGCGCTGCCGTCATAAGCGGAGATGAGATATATAGTCGAGGGGTGCCGAGAGAACACGAGATAGTTACCAGGTGGGTCGTTTGCAGCTGAGTTTAGATGACTGGAAGCGTGTCAGTTAATGTTTGAGACTATAGCTGAGAGTGCAGTTGAGAGACGGCGGGGTGGTGCGCAACGTACAAGTAATCATAGGCCGTAATAAGTCTCTCGCCATCTCCTGTGAAAGGGTCTTGGTCAATCTTGGAGTTGGAATCCTCAAGACCAACATGATCCAAAGCACTCCATTCAAAGAGAACTCCAGCGAAGAAAGCGATATGAGGCTCGCCATTGTAGTCTTCGGCTTTGACGTTGAAGGCGTATGCGGTTCCTCCCCGTAATCCGACCAAACAAGATTGCCATCGATGTCGTAGACCACCGGGGTGGGGGATGGCTTGGACGTCAGGCTGGTATTCGAGAGGGATTTTGGGTATAAGAGGAGAGAAATATGTAACCATCTTCTTGGCTGACTAGGCCTTTGTGATAGGTAATGAAGTCGATCGGCTGAGGATTCAGATCAGGGCGCTTGGGTTGGACGTCAGCTTTACTTGAAATTTTGAAAGGATGGAGGGGTAGGCCTTACGGATCTGAAAGGAAAAGCAGAGTTGTTCCAAGCAAAGTGGTTCAGCGGGGGAATGTTGGTCGGCAGGGGTTGAGGTTTTCAACGGGCGGAGGTACCGAACGGAAGGCGAGAAAAGAAGAGAAAATTTTGAGATTTTTAAATAGGGAGATAGCTGCGGTGATTCGAAAACGGAGCGTGAAAGTAGAATGTGAATGCGGCAAAGGCAGGGGTGTGAATTGGGGAGGTGCAATTCTTGCCACTAATCTCGACCATGTTTGTGGAAAAAGCGATGTCTGCTCAAGCATTTCAGAGACATTCGAACTAGTCTGTCAGCGAAAATTGTTTCATTTCAAAGACCATGTCTTCCGATCACGAAAAAAAAATCCCTTAGGGTAAAAAGGAATGGAACAGGGTTGACATGGGCTGCTCGGGCTGGGCCTTCATGCTACCTACCTACATCAGGGGCCGGTAATGATTTCCCGCCATCTGGTTGGCCGTTTGCGGTGTCTCCACACACCCTCGCCTCCAGCAGATCAAGGGCGCCGCACCAGACGTCGATTTAGCTTCCCGCCGTAGATGAAAAGTTTGATTGCAATCCACGTAATGCTTGTCTCCAATGAAAGATCTGACCAAATACTAATAAAATATAGACTAATGTAAGGCCTGGTTGAGAGAAATCAAAGCATTTCTGCCCATCATTATTGCAAGATTTCGCAGATATTAAAGGAGCTCTTACCTTTTCTCATTAGCGACCAACGGAAATCAAACACCACAAATCGGTTGTCGCCCATGGGATTCTCATCTCTGAGGCTGTGGCTTGCATTGACTTTATTATACTCTCTTTTGATCTCCATCGCCCAGTTTCACTGATCTGTCGGTATTGCTTACTCTTCAGCTGCGCAGTACACCCCCTCGCTCCCACCTAAGCACACAATCCCGCGTAGATATTTTCTCCCTGTGGAGAACGCTATCTCATTGCATATACATCAAGTAGATACTGTACCGCTGAATCCCTACGATTGACCGTACGGCAGATTCGAGCCTCCTTTACAATTGTTCCAACGAATTCAGTAAATATTACAAAAGACGCGGCACGGAACGTTTGCACCATTCATGAAAGCCGAACTGTAGTAATACACTATTTATGCAAAGACGGGTGCATGTTTAGGGTTACGAGCTCTTACGAATTTCCTTCAGAACATTCTCCCACACCCCCGGGGCTCGGCTCCTTCTCATACTTGCCACGTCATCCGTGACATAGAATTTGAACCTGGGTTCAGCTAAAAATCCTAAAGCCTTCTTCCAGGCCGATCGTTGTGCGAGCTCTTTCTGAAGGCGAGGAGTTCTTATGCGCTCCAAGTTAGCCAGTCGACCCCAGCGACTGGGCAAGGCTCGTATCTCTGACACCCTCACGCCGGTGGTTTTTGGAAGCCCAAACAATCGCGCAGTGACGAATTCTAGCTGCGCATCTTTGGGAAGATTTTGTGAATATCGGATCAGTACATCACGAGATCTACGAGCGAACTCAGGAATGTAGAGATTGACTGAGTTGACGAAAGGCGCTGTAGCAAGGCCCACGACGATCATAGGAATCGCGCCCATGCATATGACTGCAGGGGATGTCAGGTCGATACAAATGAAGGTGAGGAAAGGCGAAGGTAAGAATTGAGAATAAAGAATAACTGGAAAGGAGTATTTACCTCCAACAGTCTTTAGGACGGGCTGTGGCTCATTAGGGGCATAGTAAAACCGTGGGGCCATAAAGACGCATGAGATACCAAACAGGAAAATAGTTGTGACTTTCCAGAAGGAAATGAAAGTCGTCTTTCCGGTGCCGGCATTGTAAATGAGAAGTCGAGAAGGATATGCTGCGGAACGTCAACTTATTTTCAAGCGACAGACCTGGAGTCAGCTGACCTGATTTGGATGGTGTATATTGTGTTCGAGACAACTGCTGTTGTCGTCGAATTGGGGTTTGTGCAAAGGTATGAAGTCTGGCTGTGCTCGGAATGGGTATACTCGAGCTATATAGTATGGTGCATGGCTGCACTGGGCTAGGACGTAGCTTAGAGCATGCCCTGTATATAGAAGAGACAGTTCTTGATCGAATTATCATTTTATTGTGATGGATGAACTGGCATGTAGTGGAAAGAAGCAACCGCACCCATTGAGTTTTACGGATTGACAGACGCTAAATTCCAGCTAGGTACATAGACTCAGGGGGTTCCGCCGTTGCCAAGATGACCGCCCGGCGGACCGACCAACCATCGCATATTGCAACTTCTTTATTAGGCCTTGAGACCGCATCGTCTTACTTGCTACTAACCTACCTGCGCGCTCTCCATTCGAGCACGTACGGCTTCTTATTCCACAAATATGACACAACTTCTTGTGCAATACTAACTATCATTGCTTACTGTACAATGCCAACCTTCCAGTCTCTCCTTGGCCTCCTGGCCCTCCTCCTTTCCCTCGCATCGGCATATAGTACTCTCTCAGACGACACCCTTAAAGGCTTACCCAGCCCCGGAGACGATTTTAATGTCCACCATGGCGCCCTATTATCGCCAATACTGCGCACACGGGTCTCAGGTACGCCTGGCTCGACCGCCGTGCTGAATCATTTCGTCGATTTTTTCCGCACCCATCTCCCAAAATGGACGTTGGAGTTTCAGAACTCATCCTCTACGACCCCTACAAGTAATGGCAAGGAAATCCCCTTTGTTAACCTAATTGCAACCCGCGACCCACCCGGAACCCAAGTTGGAGAAGTCGGGCGATTGGCGCTGGTTGCTCATTATGACAGTAAAATCACCCCAGCGGGCTTCATTGGGGCGACGGATAGCGCGGCCCCGTGTGCGATGCTGATGCACACCGCGCGCAGCATTGATGAGGTGCTAACGAAGAAATGGGAGGCCATGGCTGCGGACGGAACGGAAGAGCTCGAGGAGCAGAAAGGAGTCCAGATAATATTCCTTGATGGAGAGGAGGCATTTCTGAGCTGGACAGATACGGATAGTCTTTATGGAGCACGGTGAGTACTTGCAAGCTCCCTAAATGCTCTTGACTTCCAGCGCAGACGAAAACCTTGAGATTGGAGTTCGCTAATTTTCTTCAGCGCTCTCGCAGAGTCTTGGGAACACACC